CCGTGCGCCACGAGTGTTCAAATATTCCCGCCAGTGGCTCTGCAATGATGTCGGCCAGTGCCTTCAGCACCCTCGGATGGAGCTCATCCGGGCCTGCCAACTTAAATGCATCCAGTTCTTCCAAGTGCCTCTGCACCATCTCAGGGTCTACGCATGGCAGTCTGGCGCCTTGCTGCTGCCCCTCTACAACCCCAGTGAGAGACTTGTTGTGCCCCTCGCTTAGGAACACTGAGGCAAAGAACTCGTTGAGGAGTTCAGCCTTGTCCCCCCTGTCCGTCACCAATTGTTTCTGCCCATTTAGTGTGTGCGCCCCAAGTGGCAGACATGTATGTGGCACACAGCAGATGGGGGAGTGGACTAGCTGCGCAGCGGCAGAAAGCAGAGCAGCAAATTGGTCAGGGGAAAGGGATCAGAATGGCACTCGGGGATAGTGAAGGGCTAACTTGTGACATGCCTACCAAAAAAAGGATGACCCCAATTGTACTGGAGAATTCCAGACGTACAATCATAGCAGCCACACTGCATGTTTGCTTTCATATTGAAAGCAGAATCTGTCCAGAGATGTGTTCTTTTGTTGCCAAGGAAGGGGAGAAAAATCTCATGGTTTCCATGGATCTATTTTAACTTTCATTTCAAAACTGTGTCCGTGATTTGGTAAAGCACTTAGATAAGCCTCGAAATGTAAGCACGTGCTGAAATCCCCTTGAGGTCCGAGTTAAAGATAAGCATGTGCTTAAGTGCTTTGTTGACTCCAAGCCCAAGTACTAGATTCTGAACAAGTTTGTGTAGAGCATCCATTGATGTGGGGCTTTAACATTTGCTAAAAAGTGAGTCCCTCAGTGCTGTGCTGAATCAGCACTGCAGTTTAAAAAAAAAATAAAATAGATCCATTGAGAATGAGGTAAGGTGTTATGCTGACTAGAGCAAGGAAGACAAGTTGAACATCCTAATTTAAAAGTCTCTACAAACTTGTGGAGTGAACAAAGTACCTAGAATGAGTCTTACAGCCCTGTAGTTCCTGTTTTGAAGCTATTGAAGAAGAATTACTGAAAAATTAAGCTACATTAATAGACACATTCTTTTATACGTTAGTAATTATTTTATCAGACACCTACATTATTTTTCTTTCTTGAAGCAGTTTTTATTGGTACTGAAAATCGCTGTAGGATAAGTGAAACCAAGCTAATTGAGATTCATAAATCCACTTTTTAACAAGCACAATTAGGAATAGTTATTAGAGACCAGCTTGAAAACATCAGGGATAAAAATTTACCATAGGAGGCTTTTTATACAGTTTGAAACATTGTTTGATACCAAAATCTAAATTAGATCACCAGAGAAATGAACCTGCTATTTAAAATCTAATTTGTACATAGAAAGTTAATTCTGAGTATTCCTATTGATAAAATTTTTATTATTTGATCTTAAGCTGCCTATTTTTTAATGAAAGCCTGATTTATACAGTGTTTCTCCTATCAATTAAGATATGAGAAGTAGCTACTTGAGTATACTGACTGTGTATTTGTGTCCAGTGACTGTGTAATAGACCTTAGCATGAGTCAATTCTATTATCTAAATTATGGTTTCAAATGTAGAGCAGCATATTGGGCCAGATTTAAAGAGAGGCTCATTAGGTTTAGTGAATTTTGGATCAGACCTGTTGGGCAATATTTTCCAAAATGCCTAAGTGACTTAGGAACCTACATGTTAGATTTGCAATTCTACTAAAGCACCTAATGATGCAGATGGGCACCTGTGATTATCTATTACTTTTATGTGATTTTTTTTTTTTTTCTAGTGCAGTTCTCACAATATGCAAGAAGAGTAAATACCTAACTCCCTAATGCTTAAGTTTTTGTATTAAAAAGAATTGACCTTTTTTGGTTATTTCTTTAATGGGGAAAAACTGTGATAGTTACCAAGAGATTATTCATATTTTTATTGCCCCAAAGAAAGCACTCTAAGTTAAATCCCTATGTTAATGAAGTCTAATATTCTGTAGTGCTTTGCAAGAGTGGAAA